TACAGCGCTCTCTCCCACCTTCAATACCACGACTGAGGTGCCCTTGAGCAAGGCACCGAACCCCCAACTGGTCCCCGGGCGCCGCAGCATAAATGGCTGCCCACTGCTCCGGGTGTGTGTTCACGGTGTGTGTGTGCACTTTGGATGGGATAAATGGCACTAATTCCAAGTATGTGTCACCATACTTGGCCACATGTCACGTCACTTTCACTTTTACTTAAACCCTAAGTAACTAACATGTGAAATAATAGTCAGAAAAATCTGACTCTTTAAATAGAATAGTTTTATCAAATATTTAGACAGAATCTAAAAAAAAAAGTATGTTTTGTATCTTTTTTTTTTTTTTTTTTGTTTTTTTTTTTTTTTTTTTTTTTTTTTTTTACATCAGGCTTTTATGGCTCATATATTCTGATATAGTGAGAATAAGAGAGGAAAAGAACAGCTAATTTTTATTCTGAGGCCCAAACTGAGCAAAATATTAAATTTGGTGCAGATGCTGATATATTTATTTTACTGTTTAATCTGTTTTACCCTCTACAGATCGAGTCCATAATGATGAAGCTTCAGAGACTACAGCACAAAGCGGTTCTGGATGATGATTATGACACAGGTCAGACATTTACATGCTCAGTGTTGGTTTGATCATTTATTTGATGAAGCATAATGGTTTCTCTAGCTAATAGTTAATATGTGTACTGCATATTAAGTGTAAATATGGAAACAGAATGGATTTCATATTCCAAAATATAATTAACACACTAAAACTGAAGAAATGATGTAGCCATTGCTTCACATTTTAATCTAAAAGTATGATCACACTATATATCTGTATCTGTAAATATCAGCAGTTTTTTGTTCTAATAAGTCCACAGCTGATGACAGAACACACATTCATGTGGTTCAAACACACCCAAACACTCCCAGCTGATTATCCGTACTCAGCGATAGCTAGCGACCTTAAACCAAACCAAAAAACATTAGCTTGTGATTGCTGACTTGATAGCAGGAATATTCCCTTTTTGCATCCCACTTGTTTGTTTGATTAGCAGTGACACACAATCCACCTCGTCTGACTCAGTGATGTTGAACATTTCTGTTCATACAGTTCCTATTACATCCAGAAAGGTGCATTACCATTCTACATATTTTATTTCAGTGGGTTATAGTATGCATACTGTACACTGAATTTGTTTCAAAGATTTCAGATCCCATTTCAAATGTGCATCTTTGCATCAGGAATATTTTTTTGTTAACTAAAACTAAAACCATGAAAAAAAAAAATGTTCCTTGAAATAAAATAAACATTAGCTGAATATAATATAATATATAAAAAAACTGAAATTTATTATTGTAATTATTTTTCAGATTTTATTTCCGTTTCTAAGGCAACATTTCTCAAAATACTAAAATAACTTAATAAATAAAATAGAAATATAAAAAAAGAAATAAAAGGAAAATAAATAAATAAACTTGAAAAAGAAAAATTAAAACACTATTTAGATTTTTTTTTTAAACAAAAAAGAATACAAATGACAAAAAAACAGCAAAATGACTAAACTAAAAACTTTAAAACTTGAAAGTGAAAAGAAAATATCAAATTAATAAAACAAAATATCAAAATATTAACAAACGTTTGTAGTATGCTGTTTTAAACAGTATTAGTACAAGGTGGAGATGGATCTGTGATTCAGTGTTGAACAGCGCCATCTGCTGGTCATGAACACAGTTATCATACAGTCCCAGTGTGCTGTTCATGGAGTGAAGCAGCAGTGTGTCATGGGTTTAATTTACTGTGTAATTCCTTCATCCTTCGCTTCATTACTCACACTGAGTTGCTGTACTAGAAAGTACCCTCTGTAACTTCGGTGTGTGTCTGGAGAATCTTCTTTACCTTCTTCTTTATCAGATCAGATGATTGACCTACATTTGTCAGCTGGAAGTCTTCTTTTTGCATGATGAACCTTGTGACTTAAAGCACTAGTCTTTTCCCAGACCCTGATTTGTGTGTGTGTGTGTGTGTGTGTG